GCAGCCGATTTTTTTTTACACCATTGTGATTAATCAGAAATGACGACTACGAAAAACTCGAATTTCAACGTTGCCGCCATGTTGGGTCTGCAGTGTGACATTTACCATGTTGACCTCATTATGCACGTATTTCCGTGCCCACCTCATTATAATACGTGCAATTCATGAATATTTAATAGCAATGAATTTCCTGCAGAATAAACCATTTCGCGCTAACACCTCCATTTCGCGAATTTTTTAATTTTATTTAAACTACAAAAAACAAATTAATCGCCTCGACTGCGCCAGTCTATTACATTGGTTACTTATGTAAGTTATTAATGGTCAAATTATTTTAATGACTCAGTATACAACAAATTGGGTAATACATGTATATATATAATAATGTATATCTCATTTGCACTAAATACTATTTGAATACAAAATTTACATTAAACCAACAACTTCTGACATAACCTAGTCTCGTTCATTATTAGTGTAAATTCACAGGAGTGGATGTTTTCATATGTGCAATGATCAAGTCATGTGACAAAAATATTACTCTGGAGCAACTGGATTTGTTTCAACAAAATGGCCACCATTATACTGGAATAGAACACTTTCTAATATTTGATATGAATGCATTTCCTTACAATTTTATCGTCTTCAATAATGGTGGGAAAATGCGAGCATGAAACCCGTTTAGGAGAAGAATTACCGGTAGTGTAGGAGACGAAAAAGAATTTGACAGACCTGATTATACTTAAAAAATAAAATGCCATGTTGACATCGCTAATACAGAAATTTCCATGGAAACACAGTTTGGTACTCTATTTTATTTGCTTTCAGACAAAGTTTTCATTTATAAAATATAAACAATTTGTTTTTTTTTAAATTTCTCCAGTTTTACTGGTTTATGGCCACACCGTAATGACACATAAATTATTATACTTACGCTAATGTTGGCATAAAGACTCCAAACGTAGATAAAATTTTTGGCAAATTGCTTGCTTCGAGACTGGTGACATAATCTTTGAATTCTTCAAAGTTTTTCCCAGGAAGATTTATTCCTTTTTTCCTACAAATAAAAAGGCACACGAGTCATGTCATGACATAGTTTCTGTTGTTTTTAACAAAAGTATATCTGAGTGTATTAGTACACATTTGTACAGTGTACCCGGTACGTCTAAAATTATGATCATTTGTATACCCAATATCCTGATACATTTTAATATCTCGTGAGAACCGTTTCATTATGCAACAGATTTGAACCAAATTCATCAATGAATATCTGAAACATGGTTCCACAAAGACTTGCAATTGTTGCATTATTAATTCTGATGACATATACAACAGGCATGATGCAAACTGACGTTTGTTGTGCAGTTCCTTCATTATTTATTCTAATTGCAATAGTTGTATTACAGACAACCTGCAAACTAGAATCAGTTGCGGCTATTTAAAAACCGGTATGAAAATTCACGACACAAATGAATATTCATGACATGTTTAATGAAAATGTGAGACTTTTATGCATTTTTTTTTTTTTGCTTAAACATTTTCATAAGTCCATCCATGCCAAAAATATAGATCCAGAACTGAATTCTTTCAGTCGGCCATTTTGAACCCCGTCAAAACAAAACAAACAAAATATTAATGACATGTGTTCATTTATTCATAGGATCTATATGTAGGCTGTGTGCAACTATCACTCATATATACTCACTGTCCTAAGTCCCAGACTGTGGATGATTTTGCTGAACCATCTAAATGAACATGCAATTCAACCTGTTAAGAAAGTATAGATCACTGATTTATGGTAACATTACAGTCAAAACATATATACATGATAGAATCTGACAAATCTGTCAACAAACAAATCTAACCTCTAATTAGTCTGAGTGTTAGGTAATCGGGTTAGATAACCAATCATGCAGGCACAGTCTTGTAAGTGAATACGTATTGACTCAAAATTAATAGTCCCCAAATCAAATGTTCTGAAAATGTCTGATAATTTCAGGGAAATAATTCTGATCATATACAAAAAATGACATAGGGCATTATAATTAACTGTGCTTGCTTGTTGTCTACTTGATTGTACTAACGACAGATTTATATATGCATGGTAAGTAACGGTAGTATCACATATGGCTCGGATTGATACCAAATTCACTTATGTCTGCTGACGTTAAACTAAGAGAAAATATCATGAAATTATATATTCCAATACATGTGCATGGTTGTGTGATGCCTATACTACATGTGTGGACTGGTGAACAACCCAGGGCAGCAGTCCCATTAAGTACACCACATTACATGTATCTATTATCTATGATGTATTTCTGGCTAAGATTGCGTCTTCAGTTGTGCATTGGCTTTACATATTATCAGATCTCCAACATTTGTTACATTGTGGAAACAGATGCTTATTCATAAGCAAGTAATCTCAAATACCACAGTGCTATTTTCACGTTAAAACATCGATATGAGAGAAATGAATGCAGATGCAGGGTTTTCTGGGAATAGGTAACATGGCTCAGAAAATAATGTACAGGTAATTGATATATTCTGCAGTAGATTAATCAAAGTTTTCCCACCAAGGGTGTACATAATCACAAGGTCATAGCTACTGAAACATGAATACTGATACAAAGATAAGCCATGGAGGAGTAGTGATGAAACGCCAGAATACATTGTGAAACAAGCAGTGGTAGCTCTGGAATACGAATTTTGTATATAAGATGATATAAGATGGTGTATTTTTTCCATCTAATAAGGTAGAAGCCACATAATAATAATAATAATCATAATAATAATAATTTACATAATAATAATAATTTACATAATAATATAATTGCCTATGCATAGAATGACTGTAATTAACCCGCAACATCGGAGAGATGAGAAATAAATCCCACAACATATAGCACAAAACTTGTTTATGTATATGCTCTTTCAGTCTCTGTCACTTCTGCATTTTAGTTTTAGTATTAGCAAAGTTAAAATTAGCCAACACAGTATGCCAACACAGTATGCCAACACCAAAGCTTATTTCACTACCACAACTGAAGGTAATGTATATTTTTCAGAACTCAAAACTCAGAACCAACTTTTCAGAATCTCAAAACTAACTTTTCAGAACCTCAGAACCAACTTCCCAGAACCCAACTTCAAAATTGCTTCTTTATCATCGGAAGTCATCTTTTAGGTTATTATTAATATGACCACACCCAACCCCCAAAATACGCAAATTAGCTAAATCCAGTTATTTTCTTTGATCTCAGCAACCATTGAGCCGATTTCGTTCATATTTGGTAGGATTAATCCTTGGCACGAGTAGATGTGCTTTTGGCAATAATGACCATGCCCTCCCAAAAATATGCTAATTAGAATAAATGATCTGCCTCTTCACATAAATAGTAGCATTGACATGTATGCTAACGATTCTACCATAATTACTAGTGCAGGGTGTCTTTCTGAAATCGAGATGACTCTCCAATCCGATTTAAATATTTACAGTTGGTGCAGAAATAATAGAATGGCTGTAAATTGTGAAAAGACAAAAACAATGATTGTCACAACACAACAAAAACGTAATCACTTAAATAAACTAAACTGTAAACTTAGTGAAATTGAATCACAAACAGTTAAGTGTGAAAAAATAATCGTTGTCCTTGTAGATGAAAATCTAACATGGAGGCCTCACTGTGATAAGGTTTTCAAGAAAGTAAACAGTAACATTGCTTTACTAAGGATATAAGAAAATGTTAACGCACTAGAAAGAACGATGCTCACTGTATGAAAGCAGGAACTGAATGATGCGATGAGAGTAGCCAAGACTAAGGGACGCCGTGGATGCACTAACGTGATTGGCTAAGATGGCAAAATGTAAACACATGATGGTTCATGGGATACTAACTAAAATAGCACAAACTAGGGAATGATCTATAAAGTAAATACGAGTTACATAATCAAGGGTGGAAGTGAGCTAGCTGACTGATAAAGGTCAATGGAGTGGGAGACAAAGAGTGCACATTTCAGTGCGTTAACATACAATTACAAATGTTTTGTAATAGTCACATATACAAGAAAACTTTTTTATAATAGTTATATACTACCTCATTTTGATTATTTCTGTCAGTTGTGGGGAGCAACCCCCCACATGAGGAAGTTGCATAAAATTCAAAAACAAGCTCTGAGAGTTATGTGTGACAGGAAGCACCAACCATGGAGGTAATCTCTTTTCTACCTCCATGCACCAACTGAGCAATTATTTAAAAGAATGTATATAATGCCATTACCAGATTAGTTTATAAGAATGTATGTATGGTCTACAAATGTTTAAATGACCTTGTGCCACCATATATGGGTAGCCTTTTTAGTGTAATTAATCACACAGAGTTACTAGATCTAAAGCACAGCAATTATTGCAAACTCCAGCTACAGCCAAGGATTTTTATCCTAGAGGTTTCACTATTAATGGTGCAAAACAACAGAAAAGTGTTAATTTTAATGTAAGATCTACAAACTCGCTTTCTGGATTCAAAAGATCATATTTGAAAGAATATTTCTGTAAATTGTTAGTGTATTTTTATAGTTGTATTGTAATATTGTTCACTTGTGCCTGCACAGTGTGAGTTTGCTCTGCTCCCAGCCAATCATAGCCTGTTTATTTCGACCAATCAGCTCACATCTTTGTCAACCAATCAGCTTCTTTTCGCCAGCCATCATAGCCAGCTTGTGCACATGGACTGTAGCGTCCCTACCTCTTTTGTTTTCTGTTGTTCAGCAGTTTTATTCATTGTTTTTTACGCGTCACTGCTATACAAGCATTGTATTCTCTTCGCTCGTTATCCCACCACCATCCCCTTCGTCCCCCTCTTTTTTGGCTAGCTTCCTCCTACCAGTCGGGGCATTGGATTTCATCCTGACCCCCATTTCAAGGTCGGGCGGCCTCATACAGGTTTTCCCCCTCCTTCTTTTGGATCCCGAAATCCATTGCTCAGAGGAACACGTGCTGTCTTGGTGGGTAGAAGTGGGCCACCTGGCCAATTTTGTAGTTTTATGAATTGTATCTTATTGAATTGTAATTTTATTAGTTTTGTAGTTTGTGTCTGCAAGTCATTTTTGCTCAATAAACTTGTTTTTGCCTTTTACTCGTTTACGCGCGTGGAGTGTCTTTACAAATATTGTAGTATTGATTTTGTATTTAGAGGGCCCTGGGGTAGATAAGCATCTTTGTTGAAGCTTACCAGGCTACCCTCATTAAATAAGGTTTAATAAATAACAATAATGAATAATAAATATTGTAGCACATGACATAGTTTATGTCAAAAAAAAAATTCATATATGATAACTATATGATAATTCCCCCAAGAACGCATTTGTAGAATCATTTGTGTTGACTGATCTGTTCTGCCACGCCCTCTACAGTTGTCACTGCGTTTTTGAGATGATAAATATGCTAATGAGTAGCATTAATTATAAGCTGCCAACCAATAAGAAAGGCAGCCTTTGGTCAGACCTGTTCTACGCAACTATAACTGGTCACGGGTTCCAAAACGTCACTGCATATCATGAATAATTAAGAGCAATGAACAAGCCTGTGAATAGACAAGTAATGGTAATTTTTCATTGGATCAAAATTCTAGAAAGGATTAAAAAATTGCCATGGCTGGGCCATAGGCACTAAAACTTATAAAGGGTTTTGGCTAAATCCAAGATGGTGGTCAAAATTTTTGACCAATCAGAATGCTGGAAGCAGATTGTTATAGTTCAGACAGGTACCTATGCGCATACGGAATTTCAGAACTATAATTGCAATTTTGAAACAAATTACCCACAATGCAAAATAATCTGATCATTTAATCATTGAATATGTCATTGCATCTTCAAAAATAACAGTTCTAACAGTGTACAACAATAAAATGTTGAGATATAAAGCACAGCACACTTTCTGTCAGCATCCTTTATTTTATGTTTTTGTCATATTACCTCAAACCTTGCAAATAGAAGTGTGCATGGAATCATGTGAAGAAACGGTGTGCATTGTGATAACTGTCATAATGGTGATTGACAGGTCATACTTGTTTTCAACTTTGGAAGGACAGTTGGAATCTACCAGGTGTGTTTGCGATTTACATAACAAAGGGTGTTTACAACTTCGGAAGGAGAATTGGAATCTACCAGGTGTGCTGTTATTAGAATAACAAAAGATGTTAATGATCTACTGAGTTGCCTACGTGACACAGCTGCTAATGCACACTTCCCGAAGCAATCCCCTATTTTAGTGACTTTATTCATTGTATTTTTCTGTGCTTTATTTATTGTATTATGTATTGTATTATTTTTAGAGGTATTAAAGCCAGGAGCTTTAACTCGATATTTTGGTGTACGTGTATTTCATTTCCAGTACTATTGTCTTTCTACCCCATTCTAGCAGTGAAAGAACCCCCTGTCCAGTGTGAGTTCTGTGGGTGGCCCTCTCAACAGCAATAAGCAGGCCTTACACTGTGACACTTTCCTTTAAAAAAAAAATATGTTCAATAAATATTCGTTGATCTGTCTAACAATGTTATCTTCAGTTGGGTCGCGACTTATCAAGGGGCCTCGTGAAAGGGGGGTTTATGAATTGAAAATTGATAAAAAACACATATACACACATAGATTTATTTATAGTACTTTTTCTTTATTGAAAAATAATTAAAACATCAGATTAGGCTTCACCTTGGATCGCCTTTTTCGCTATTTCACTGGTTTCTGGCATTCCTTGCAAGTAATAGAAGGCAGGAGTGCGTTCGTGTTGCCACCTTGGGGTGTCCCCGAGTGACGTGGTGGAAGTAGTATCATGTGATTTTATTGGTCCATTGCTGTGCAAGCGAAACTAGTGTAAAACCTTGGACAACTAATAATAACGTATAACATTTATTTGTATTTTTATCAAAAATGACAAAAATATTCATTAAAATTACAGAATTGAAGATATCATCATGAAATGAACAAATTTAAGAGAGATCTGCCCAAGCTACATATAAATCAAGTATCAAAGCAATAAGAATTATAGTTTTCAAGAAGAAGTTGAAAAAGTAAAAAGACGACACAGACGTCGGCGACGGATAATCACTCATATGATTAGCACTGGCGTATTCGTAAAAAACGTGTATCCCTTTGCTTGGTTGCCTGCTTGGGTTCAAATAAACTCACTAACCTGACCTACTTATGCTGCAACATAGTTGCTGAGCAATGGTGACTGTTGCTGGGCAGACATACTATTTTGCCCTATGTGTAAATAAACTGAGTTGCGTGGTCAGTGAACTAATGAATGTACTAAATTATATCAGCTTACAATATATTAGTCCACGGTGGTCTTTAGACGGCAACAACACCAGCTCTCAAATTGTCTTTATAGAAACTTAAAGCAATTTCCAATCTAATTACGATTGCAGGTCCAACAAATTACAAACAATCAAACTTGAATGAATGAAAGTACAGTACAACAAATTCATGTTATTCAAAAGTCAATAATACGGGTTCTACGCGAGGGAGTGTCCGGGAACGCGCGGACACGCGAGGGAGTGTCCGGGCACGCGCGGAAGCGAACAGGGGGGAATACCTAACGCGCGGGGCAGCGGTAGCCATCCTTGTAACTGTATAATATTCGTTGATGCTCAAAATTTGAACCAGAGTGGCGAATTCGAGCAGCTGTCCACACTTTTTATGATCGACGCCCGGGCATTCCAGCGAGTCGAGTCCGCCATGTTGTTTACTAATTTTGGTTAGCGTTTAACAATAGGACAATACCATTCGATCTATGGGGGTGACAGTCCTACGAATGTGCCGACATTGTCGAAGGACAAGTTTGTGCAAGTGTGGCGAGACTCCCGTAGTTACCACAGGGGCTTGTCGACTGAGCGCGAAAGCCCCTTGGCGAGAACGAAGTTCGAGAAGGGAGGACACTCTACCACCA